AGACCCCCTCCCTCCTCAGGGTCCTGCCCCGTCAGGTGTGTCCCAGGTAGACGCAGTCGAGCCTGTCGAGGTAGCTGTTGACTATGGTGCTGCTAGAGGTGCTGAGCCTGCGGGTGCCGGGTCTGGAGGTGCTGAGACTGAGGGTGCGGAGCCTGGGGGTGCTGAGTCCAGGGGTGCGGAGCCTGGGGGTGCTGAGCCTGGGGGTGCTGAGTCTGGGGGTGCTGAGCCTGGGGGTGCTGAGTCTGGGGGTGCTGAGCCTGGGGGTACGGAGCCTGGGGGTGCTGGGTCTGCTCGTGTGGCCTCTCGCGGTGCTTCGTCGAGGCGGGAGCCACTCTCTCCGCAGGAGCTGCGCGAGTGGTTTGCCCGGCGCTGGAGCCGTGCTGCTGGAGCTGGAGGCACTACTGTTGCTGCTGGTCCCGGAGGTGCTCGTACTGGCGGTACTGGAGCTGCTGGGACTGGGGGTGCTGCTGGGGCTGCTGGAGTTGGTCCTGCTGGAGCTGCTGGCGGTACTGGAGCTGCCGGTCCTGCTGGAGTTGGTGCTGCTGGAGCTGCTGGAGCTGGAGCTGCTGGGGGTGTTGGCGCTGGTGGTTCTGCTGGCACTGGTGCTTCTGAGGGTGCTGGAGTTGGCGCTGTTGGAGCTGGAGGTGCTACTGGCGCTGGTGCTGCCGCTGGGAGTACTGGTGCTGTCCCTGCTGGTTCTGGAGGCGCTGCGCGGCCGCGGCCGTACTTCGTTCCGCTCCTTGAGCAGGTTCTTGGTCTCCCGCCCTCTACTGGTCCTGCTCCTCCCTTATAGTGTCCACCGCCTGTCCGGTCGCAGTCACAGTTACAGCCCGCCTCCCCTCTACCTGCTCCTTCTCCCTACACTCGTCCTACTGGAGGTCTTGCTGAGCGTCGTGAGCCTGCGTCTCGTCCTGCGTCGCCTGTTCGTGCTGCTCGCACTAGTAGTCGTGCCCCGCGTCCGCGTCCTCCTGCGGTCCCAGGCACACACCAGATGGCACTGCGTCCTTCCACTGATCCTCTGCGTGTCCCGTTGCGGTCTCCTCCAGAGTCCTCTCTTCCTGTTCTTGCTGACCCGGAGTCAGACTCTCTTCGTGCTGCCAGTTCTACTGTCACGCGTCTCCTGGCCACTGTTGTCACTGACCCTTCCTTTGAGTCCAGTGCTGCGTCGGCCCTAGTTGCTGAGCTTGTCGACTTTGCTGCTCGCTGTCGTCTAGACTACGCTGCTAGTCTTGTTGCTGAGTCTGAGTCTGTCTGTCCTCGTCCGTCGGGGGTGAGTGTGCTCTTAGCACGGACGTCCTTGAGGACAGGCAGGAGGAGTTCCACTGTTTTGCTGCTGCTTTGCCTCATCTCGTGTCCACGCTGATTGCCCCTGAGGGAGACCCAGATGCACCAGACATCCCGACTCCTCGATCGTACGCTGTGGCGATCGAGGGACCCTACTCCTCACAGTGGCAGTCAGCCATGGACGCAGAGATGGCTTCCTGGAAGTCCACAGGCACCTACGTCGACGAGGTTCCCCCACCTGGGGCGAACATCGTCAGTGGCATGTGGATTTTCAGGGTGAAGCGGCCGCCGGGTTCTCCGCCTGTCTTCAAGGCGCGTTACGTGGCTCGAGGCTTTAGTCAGCGGCAGGGAGTTGACTACTTTCAGACCTTCTCTCCCACCCCGAAGATGACCACTCTTCGGGTGCTGCTGCACATAGCTGCTCAGCGCGACTACGAGCTTCACTCTCTTGACTTCAGCACAGCTTTCCTGCAGGGCAGCCTGCACGAGGAGATCTGGCTGCGCCGCCCACCTGGCTTCACTGGGTCGTTTCCTCCTGGTACCCAGTGGAGCCTCCGGCGGCCAGTCTACGGTCTCCGCCAGGCGCCCCGTGAGTGGCACGACACACTGAGGACTACACTTGCGGCTCTTGGCTTTGCTCCTTCTACTGCCGACCCGTCGCTGTTTCTGCGCACCGACACCTCTTTGCCGCCGTTCTACATCCTCGTGTACGTCGACGACTTGGTCTTTGCCACTGCTGACACTGCTGGACTCGCCCACGTGAAGTCCGAGCTGCAGAAGAGACACACGTGCACAGACCTGGGTGAACTGCGCAGCTACCTTGGCTTGTAGATCACCCGGGACAGAGCACAGCGCACCATTACCCTGACTCAGTCACACATGCTGCAGCAGGTCCTTCAGCGCTTCGACTTCACGTACTCCTCGCCTCAGGCCACTCCTCTGTCTACTCGCCACTCGCTCTCAGCTCTGCCTTCGGATGAGTCCGTAGAGCCGAGTGGCCCGTACCCAGAGCTTGTTGGCTGCCTCATGTACCTGATGACCTGCACACGACCTGACCTTGCATACCCTCTTAGCATCTTGGCACGCTATGTTGCTCCTAGGAGACACCGACCAGAGCACATGGCTGCAGCGAAGAGGGTGTTGCGCTACTTGTGCAGTACGTCGGGCATGGGGCTAGTGCTTGGAGGGCGACATCGAGTGGTCCTCACAGGTCACGCAGACGCTTCTTGGGCTGACGACCAGGCTACGCAGCGGTCGTCACAGGGTTACACCTTCAGCCTTGGCTCCGGCTCTGTCTCGTGGCGGTCTACCCGCTCGTCTTCTGTTCTCGGCTCCAGCTGTGAGGCTGAGATCTACGCGGGGGCCATGGCTGCACAGGAGCTACGCTGGCTCACCTACCTGCTGACTGACCTAGGAGAGCCGCCTCGTTCTCCTCCAGTTCTGTACGTAGACAACAAGGCCATGCTGGCCTTGTGTCGGGAGCACAGACTGGAGCACAGAACGAAGCACATTGCTCTCTGCTACTTCCTTGCTCGTGAGCTGCAGCAGCGTGGTCAGCTGCGCCTTGCTTACGTGGCCTCTGAGGCCAACACTGCTGATATCTTTACCAAGGCACTTCCGCCTGGTGATCATCAGCGCTTCTGTACTATGCTAGGTCTTGTGCCTACTTGGCCTCACTTGCTCACTTCTTGACCTTGCTTGTACTGTGATCTTTCTATACCTGCACTTGCCTGTTTACTTTTATATATGATCTTGCATGTGAACTGGCCTTGTGGCCTTACTCTTGTGCTCGGATTGTGTGGTGATGTTGTAATCCACCCTGAGCTTGCTTTGCTCTGCTTGACTGGTCTTGTGACCTCTTGTTCTCCCCCACTTTGCCTATGGGGGTGTGTCAAACTTATATCATATAGCTTGTCTAGGCTATAGTGGGGTAGACACTATGGGGTACAGTCTCCTAGGTTTTTCCTACTTGTACCCATCTTTGTGCTATTTCATTCATTCCTCGTTTCTCATCATCAGCAGCTTGTCTTGTTGCCGTACCTCCCTCTATCTGTAGGCCAGAGGCTGGAGGCGGAGTAGGAGTAGTGCCGGGAGAGCCGTTAGAAGAGCTTCTCTCTTTCCGTGTTGCCATGCCTTCTGATGCCTCGTAGCTCTCATACCCTTAGGATCTTTTCAAAGCTAAGATCTTGAGTTGCAATATTGTACCGTCATCGCCCGGATATAAGGCATATATGTCTTATCTCATACACTAAAAAAAATGCTTGGGTTATCTTGTATTTGGGGAGGTTTTGGGTGTCTTATAAGTCTTATAAACGGAAACTTTTTTAAACTACTTAGAAAGATTTTCACGCATCTTGAAAAGAGTTTCTCATTAAGAGTGGATGTTGCGAAGGTGCCACTTCGGCAACCATAATTCGGGACGCCACGTCATCCCGAATCAGGGGTTTTTTTATCAGAGTAAATTACTCTGTTTCTCTGAAAATCAGAGTGGTTTTTAGGGGGTCACTCTGATGTGTCTAGGTAATTTTTTTGGAAGATAAGTTTTCTCTGATTTGTCAGGGTTCTGATTTTAGCTACTTTGAGAGACCAGTGTATACGTGTGACGAATGCATTTTTCTCTGTACAGGGTATAGGCATTTCGACCGAGCCCCCCCCCCCACATTGGTCGGTAGATAGGCAGACTACACACTAATATATAATGTCGGTAGCACGTAGCACAACGGTTGCAGTTTTGGTAGGGGTGCAGTAGGCCTGGGTTCAACACTTGAGAGGGGATGCTCAGGGTTGAAAAGGTAGTTACGCTGACTCCTAAGAGTATATTTTTCAGAAGTTAAGTTTTCTCTGACAAATCAGAGTAATGAACCCTGAATTTCAGAGTTCGCTAGAAAACAACTCTGGAAATCCGAGTAGTGAAAATCCAAAAGAAAGCCCTGTCCCGAATACTTGCAGAGGCAAATTTGGTAGTACGTGAGTCAGCACGTGGCAGAATTCGCGTGTCGCAAGGGTAAAAATGTAAGCGGTATTTCAATTTTCACTATAATACATTGCAGTTTCGATTATAGGACGCATATGTCTTATCTCGTACACACAAATACCGTAGGTGTCGTATAAAAAGGCTAGCCTGTTTATAAGAGACACCCGTATAATTGACAACCCCTGTCTACTATTCAACACTGTTTTATATCCGAACGATGGCGGTATTGCGGAAGCGTTTAGTGAACTTGTTGAACCACCTTGCACTAGTTTGTGAGAGCATCATAGCAAAGTAATACAAAGGCTTTTATAAGATTACAAGGAATATGAAAAGATGCAACTAACTGTTTTACTGTTGCTGTTGCGGTTCGATACAGTGACGACTCGGGCAACTGCTCAATACCGAGTCAGTTGTTTGTCCTTGCTGTCGCGCTGTATTTCGTCGAGTCAAAGGTCGCTGACCTTTGACCTTCGCGTAACCTCCAGCTGTTACTTTCTGTCAACCTCCTTGGTTGACTCGCCGTTGCTTCGCTGTGATTCGCCTCGTTTGTAGTCTATTGTTTCGACACAACAGGAGCGTTAAATTACTTGTTTCCAACAGGGATGAGGGAAGCTGAGAAGAAAATGGTTAGTCCGAGGGGAGCAGTGCTGGATAGGAGATTCTGTACATTGCAGTGGCAGGGTTTGCCAATTATAACGAGGTGGAGAGTGGGGACACAGTGGTGAAGCAAATCTCTGGACGATTACGAGCACTCAACAGCTGTCCAACTGTCTGCAATTCAGTTATTTCTGGCCTAGTAGGCCCAACCCATGCATGCATGCAGCAATGTGTCACTTATGAGGCCACTGGGAACTGTCGAGTTTCCCCTACCCGCTTTTTCGTGGGAAGCCTTATGATCACATTGCACTTGGGTTCTGCCACTCCCCTCTCTCTTCCTCTTCCTCACTCTGCTCCTCCCCAACCACCCACGGATCTTTTAAGATGTCATCCACCGTTGGCCGTTTTGTCACGTCGTCGTCCATCAACCGTTGGATCAACTCCCTCGCCTGCTCTGACACCCCGTCCAGCCCCAACCCGCTGCGCCTCAACTCCTGCTGCGGCCATCTGGACACGTGGCCCGATAGCATGGCTCGCAGCACCAGCCCCAGGCCCCAGATGTCATGATGCCGTGGCACGCCGTGGCCCAATAGTGCAGCAGCCACGGCACGCACTGTTTCGTGCTGTGTGGCGGCGCCAAGGCCCGACAGCTTGGCGACAGGAGAGCTCCAGCACCTGCTGCTACTTCTTCCACCTTTGCAGCTGCTGCTCTCGCTCTCATCTCTGCCAGCCCTACGCAAACCGACGCTTGAGTTGCTCGGACTATCCCTGCTCAAATTTCCGCTTCTCCGAGTACAGCTGGCACCGCTGTCACTGGCGGAAGCGAGGCACGGCATCCCCGGACTAGGCGTACTCGCCAGCGTCGACGCCTTCGCCAGGCGTCGGCTCAGCAGCGGCCCAATAGGCACACCTGGGGGAGCGATGAAGGGCGACGTGGGAGACGACGGCACGGAGCAGCTAGCGCGGTGAAGCATAGCGGAGGGGGATTGCCTGAGCAACACGTGGTCGGGGGCGACGTTGCCGTGAATCACGCCGTGTTCGTGGCACTGCTTCACGGCCAGGACGGCGGAGAGGAACACTTCCCGTGCTGCGTCTTCCGACATTGGCCCCTTGCGCTTTATATGCGACGCGAGGTCGCCCGCGGCACAGAGCTCCATGACTATGAAGAGGGCCTTTTTGTCGCCGTATGCTTCCTCAATCTGAACCACGTTGCTCGCCACGCCCCAGAGGGACAGCAGAACCTTTAGGTCATTAGTAGCCCGTTTCATGTGCTTGCCGTCACCGTGCATAGACGAGAGGTCGTAATGCTTGCACGCGTACGTGCGCCGGGTAACTCGATCGCGACATCGCCAAACCGTCGCTCGATGACCTTCGCAAAGAATCCTCTCAAGCTCGAAGTTCTCCCAAAAACATTCTAGCGGCAGCACACGCCTGACATGCCCAAAAGGCATCAGCGGTAGTGAGTGCAACGATGTTTGTGTAGGAAACGAAGCTTACGATGCAACTCCAAAGGCAGCGGCGACTGGAACGCAGGGGCTAGCAAGCAACACTCGCACGGAACTCCAGTCACTTGATTTCTCATCTTGGCACTGCTGTGGGTGTGGCTCTTGTGTGCGGATGCCATACCAGCGGCAAAGGAGGCTTGTTGCTATGGAAGGTAGTATTCACAAACCTCGATGACGTCGGAGTCAGCTTCCCATTTCATCTCCTGCCCAAGCCGGTTCCCCAGTTGGTTCGTTTGTTTTTCGGACCGCGAATTGTTTGGGTCAGGGTTTCGAGACTCGACCCAACGTGTCAACCTGTTTTGGGTTGTACAGCACAGCCCCCGGCTTTGGCATGAAACCTTCATGCGTTCTCGGAAAGGTCTTCCAGAAGTCTGTACGTTCGTGAAGTGCACTTTCTTCACGGACACTGCCAAATCGTCTGCTGAAGGAAACGTGTTGCACACATATGGGAGCGATGGTACAGTATCGCCATGCTTTGGCCAACATTATTGGCAAAGTAGAGTCACATCACAGATTCAACAAACCCAGAACGGATGAGAGCCATCCGATGTGATATCTAAGCCGTGTCGCATATCCTCGCTTACACTATATACGTTGAAGTTTGGGCAAAATTCATTGTCCATACTATCCAAATTCTTTAAGGCCATGTATATACAGTGTAAGGGCATGGTGATATTTTTGAGGTTCGCAAACTACCTTCGGGCGGTTACCGTTTTCGCAAATGTCGTCGAAGCTAATTGGCGAAGGGCACCATAAATTCCAAACAGCCAAATGCGACCACCAAGAAGTGAACAAAACTCGAGCCAACACTCCAACGTAAGAGTTGTTCCAATATGAAGTTCAACGAGAAGGCATTCCTGTATGCTGAAGGAGCCAACCCTGCCGAGTACAAATTCGAGAAGTCAGAAGAGTCGAAGCGACGCTGGTAACCGTCTGACCAAGACCGATGCAGGCAGAAACATTTGAAGTGAATAGAGCGGGAACAGGTTTGAAACAAGTTCCCGCGCCGCACGGTTTGAACTTCGTCGTAATAAGGTAATGTACCCCTTAGAGTACATGGCTAGTCCAGGTCGTTTCATATTCCTTTGTATTTCATATATAAACTTGATGTTGTTGGAAACAAGTAATTTAACGCTTCCTATGTGTTGTAACATTGAACCGTAAACAAGGCAAGCTACAGCGGAGCAATGGCGAGTCAACCGAGGAGGTTGACAGAAAAGTAACAGCCGGGGGTTATGCGAAAGTTAAAGGTCAGCGACCTTTGACTCGACAAATACAGCGCGATAGCAAGGACAAACAAATGACTCGGTATTGAGCAGTTGCCCGAGTCATCATTGTATCGAACCGCAACAGCAACAACAAAACGGTTATTGCATTGTTTCATATTCCTTATAATCTTATGAAAGCTTGTATTCCTTCCCCTTGCTTCCATAGGTACGTGTGCTAGGAAAACGGATAGATTTGAAGGAAGAGCGGCGGGGCAATTCTTCCACGTAGCAGGGGGAGAAAGACCGCGGGCAACAACTGCAAAAGGGGAGGCTAATCAGCACACGTGGATTATGGATACGGGGGCTGCTTGGTCGATGACACCATGTGCGGAGCTGCTAGAGAGCATTGATGCAGCACCTGTTTCGGAAGTTATGTCCGGATCCGGACATGCGATGAGGGTGATGGGGGCAGGAAGGGCTGCATTTCTTGGAGCTGACGGAAAGCCGGTCGTAATCGAGAAGGTGTTCTTTGTCCCAGAGGTAACAGCAAATTTGATTTCGTTGAGGAGGCTGGCAGTTGCTGGAGTGAATACCGAGAGCGGAGCAGGGCACTCCAAAGGAACATTTGGGAGCTGCATGATGAATGGAGCCTGGATAACGAGCTGTGGCGAGTACCTGCTGTGTCATGGAAGAAATTTGCAACACAAACTGCTGCGAAGGAGTGTATTGTCAAGAGGGAGTCAATGACAGTAGCCATAGATGAGATAAACGAGCTGAAGCAGATAGGGGTGCAGCTGCTTGAACAGCTGAAGGTCATCGCCTCTTGCTTGAAGAAAACCAAAGGCAAGGGAAAAGTTGCATTCAGGGGGAGTAAGGCCACCGACAAGGTGAAGGTGTGCGAAGCTGTGCCGTTGCTACAGTTGTGTGAAGCTGAGGGTCTGGGCAAGAAGACAAGTGATGCAGTTCTTCTGGGTCAAGTGACAAAGAGAAAGAAACAAGGTGACATGGGGATCAAAACTGCTGACTCTTAGAAATATATTGTGTAGCATGCTAAGCACATGTGATTGTACACCAATTGTGGTGTACAGTTGGGTTGGGACTACACCCAACATTGGGTGTGTCAGATATATATCACATAGTGTTTGTAGGCTCTAGTGGGGTAGACACTAAGGGGTACAGGTTTCTAGGGTTTGATATTTGTATCACACACTTTCCTAGTCCATTCATTCCTCGTTATTTCACATGGTATAGAGCAGGTTCCCTAGTGGGAACGTTTCATAGGGCCCACCACTAAAACGATTTTTTTTTTTCCTTACCTGCCCGGAGCGCGCTTCGCGCCTGCCCTAGTCGCGCCCCGTGCGCCTGCCCTCCCGTCGCGTCCCCTGCCCTTAGCGGCCCGTCGCGCCCTCTTAAGGGCCCTTCGCGGCCCCTCTCACGGCCCTTCGCGGCCCCTTCGCGGCCCCTTCGTGGCCCTTCGTGGCCCTCTCACGGCCCTTCGCAGCCCCTTCGCGGCCCCTCGCGGCCCCTTCTCGGCCCCTTCGCCGCCCTTCGCGGCCCCTTCGCGGCCCCTCGCGGCCCCTTCTCGGCCCCTTCGCGGCCCCTCGCGGCCCCTTCTCGGCCCCTTCGCCGCCCTTCGCGGCCCCTCCGCGGCCCTTCGCGGCTCCTTCACGGCCCCTCCGCGGCCCCTTCGCGTCTCGTCGCGGCCCCTTAGCGGCCCCTCCCCGGCTCTTCACGGCCCTGCCGCCCCGTCGTCGCCGCCCCAGCAGCAGCTGCCGTCGCGCCTGCTGCCGCTGCTGCTTCCTCCACGGCCGGTCGCCGCCGCCGCTGCTGCAGTGACAGCCGCCGCCGCTCCTGCTGACACAACCGCCGCTGCCACTGCCGTGACAGCCGCCGCCGCCGTCCCGGCACTACCCTGCAGCCGAGGCGCGGCCCTCCTCTGCCGCCCTGTCGCGGCCCTGTTCCTGCCGGCGCACCTCGGCCTTGCCCCACCACTTGCGGACCTCTACCCACCCGCCCCTGGTAAGAGCCCCGCCGAGCCGCGCCCCTCCTGCTGCTGCTGCTGCTGCTAGCCTGCTGCTGCTGCTGTCATGGCTACCCCAAATGTGCTCATCTTTGATGCTGAGGGTCGGGCTGTCGACTTTGAGGTCTGGGTCGATGATCTGCAGCTTTTCCTGCAGTGTGATAGAAAAGATGGTCTCTCACTGTTCGATCTCACGTCTGGCGCCTCTGCTGCCCCTGCTGCCGATACTGACAGTACTGTTCGCTCACAGTGGGCCACACGCGATGCTGCTGCCCGTCTTGCTGTGCGTAGTCACTTGCCGTCCACTGAGCGCGCGCACTTTAGTCAGTACAAGAGTGCTAAGACCTTGTACGACGCTGTAGTTGCCCGCTACTCTTCCCCTGCCACTGCTGCCCTTAGTCGCCTCATGCTGCCGTACCTGTTCCCTGATCTCGCCGCCTTTCCAACAGTCGCTGACCTCATTACGCACCTTCGCACTAGTGACACCCGCTACCGCGCTGCGCTTCCTGCTGAGTTCTGCGCCAAGAACCCCCCCCCCCATGTACATCACCCTCTACTACCTAGTCACCCGGCTCCCTGACTCCCTTCGCTCGGTCAGGGACCACTTCCTCTCTGTTTGCCCCACCACACTCACCGTTGACCTCCTCGAGGAGCGCCTCCTGGCAGCTGAGAAGAGTATAGTCGCTGTAGGAGCTTCTCGTGGTGACCCTCGTGCCCCCTTCTTTGAGGGGTGCTCCCCCTCCCCCCTTTTGCCCTTTGTTGCCTCTGCTGCTGCGGTCGACCTCGTTGGCACCGAGTCGGTCGGCGCTGCGTCTGCCCCTAGCGGGAGACGCCGCAACGGCAAGGGCAAGGGGGGCAAGGGCGCGGGAGGAGCTGGCGGGGGCGGTGGAGGTGGCGGTGGAGGTGGCGGTGGAGGCGGCGGAGGGGGTGGGGGTGGCGGTGGGAGTGGTGGCGGGGGTGGGGGCTTCGGTGGCGGCGGTGGAGGCGGAGGCGGAGGCGGCAGTGGCGGTGGGAGCGGAGGAGGCGGCGGTGGCGGCGGTGGCGGCGGTGGCGGTGGAGCTGGTCGGGGTAGCTCTGTACAGCGGAGCGGCTTCGGTGGTGGTCAGCGCCAGCAGCAGCAGCGCACTCGTGAGACCCCGCCCCCCTAGCAGTTTCGTGAGTGGTACGCTGCGCGTCAGCGGGGTGGGGTTGCTGGTCCCTGTGCCTACGTCCTGCGTACCGGTTACCGTACTGGTGAGCCGTGCGGAGGCCCGCACACCACCCAGCGCTGCTTCGGCCGCCTGACGGACGCCTGGCGTCTCCAGTTCCCTGACGCCACTGAGATCCCTCGCTGGGGCGAGCTACTTAGGTCGGGGGTTGCTATCTTTGATCTTGATTATGATGCTATTCTTGCTGCCATGTATATTGTGTCTACTAGTGATGAGGGTGACTGTTACCTGTGTGTTCCGCCTGACCCGGGCATTGAGGCTGCTACTCTAGGTGCTGGTGAGGCTGCTGCTCTAGGTGCTAGTGCGTCTGCTGCTCCAGGTGCTGGT